CAGCTCCCCCAACATAAATCCCTTGGACTACTACGTGTTGGGCGTTGTTGAGAGGGAGAATAATAAGCATCCCCACAACACCCTCGACTCTGTCCATCAGTCCATCACCGACGTCATGGCCAACATGGAGAGGGACCGAGTTGCCAAGGCTTGTGGCCAGTTCCACTCAAGGATTGAGACTGTCATCGCTGCCAATGGCGGGTTTATTGAATAATTGCAAACTGTATATCAGGATCTGCTAGTGTGGAAAATTTCATTTTAATACATGCATTTTTTCCCATGTAAATTCATTGTTTTCCTTCATTAGTAAAAATTCCTCATATACCGTGATAACCCTGTATATGCCCTGGTTATATATACTGGGTGTCACAAAAAATGCATCCTATTTGACACTTTATAATACCCACTGTGGATCACCTAGGTTCATGATTTTTCCTTATCACATTGGAAACACTACAAATTTGTTTCCTGAAAGTTTCATGAGTCTAGGGTGTCTGAACAAAAGATGACATTCAAAGTGGAGTAATGAAATGTACCTTTTCTGCACATGAGGTGCATGGAGTTTCAGCTCTGCTCAAATTATTTTTCAAGATAGTGATATCAAGAGGCGATTTCGCCCATTTCAGTATTGTGTCAAGGTCCTAATTTATGAAAGCATGTAATTTGCTAATCTTGTAATAAACCCTTCCTTGGACTTAAACTATATAGATTAAATAGATTATCCTCATAAATATATGACTTAAATGAAGGCCACATCTATATAATTATGTAATTCACACTGCAGATTTATACTTGGTGGTACAAAAGAATGCATCCTGCTTGAGGCTATATAAAACCCAACAAAATTCTGTGATTATAAATACTTTCCACAGCAACTGCAAATGATAGCACCATATAATGCAGTTATGCTCTTCTCATACTTTGAATAAAAACTTATACTTGTATGGGGAATCACAGAAATATCAAGAAACAGGAATTTTGGGTGGAAAAATTATTTTAAATACCAGTTTTCTCCTGATAACTTTTGAACTGCCCATTAATGCCAAAACAACATTATTTTTGTTTGATTTTTGGCAAAATATATATACATGGCAAAGGCAAAGATTAGGCCTGACAAATGACCAATTGTATCAAATGGTGAGTTCATGCCAAAACAAGTTTGTATTGAGTTGGCATTTTTGTGAGTCTCATTCTTTTCATGACATGCTCTGCATCAGGATTATATTGACCAGATCAATTGTTGTTTAATCCCTTGACTGTCGAGTTTTAATGTAAATTCTGAACTTCTCTTGTCAGGTTTTTATTTTTCTGTCATTTTCAATTATTTTTCCCCAGAATAGAGAAGCATTTTCAATTAAATGTTCATAAACTATTATATTTTGATTCTAACTGACACAAAGATAATTTCCCAGACATAAATGGTGTGCATGAGAACAAAGCATGACAGTCAAAGATTTAAACATGTACATGCATGCTATACTATTTTTATTAATCGTCATTGAGGAACTGTGAAAACCCAGCATTCTGGTCTTTGGTGGTCTATATTAAGACAGTGGTCTACGCACTATACTATATGAATTGGTGTTTGCTTCTTGGACTACTCATAAAACATTGGCATAATCCTTCAAAGTACTGTGGCACAAAGAACCTGACAAACTTGT